GTCATATTCTCCCTTCTCCTTCCCTGGGGACACTTTGGGCAGATGAGTGAAGTTGTCCAGACTCTTGCCCTTGGAGCCCAGAGTTTATGCAGACTTCATCCTCTGCCAGGCTTGTTGCAGCAGGAAAGAGGCAGAGTTAGTATGCAGAGTGGATGAATTCCATTTCTGGAAGATGTGCAGATTGTGAAGGGATGGGTGCGTGATTATGACTGTGAATGAAAACAGAGTGGGTGTAGGCTGCCTGATTTCCAATCTGGCAGGGTGTTTAGTCCCATCAAGCCAGGAAAGTCATTAGCTGAAAATCATGATATTTGGTCACACACCATGGCAGTGAATTAGTAAGTTCTAGGAGACTCACCCTGTAACAACCATGGAAAACAAACCTTTATCTGCTAATATTGGACCATTTTACTACCAGAGAAGTATCAGCTTGTATTTTTTATGAGAACTAGAAATCATATATGTTCAGAAATAGAATTTATGTGTAAAACATGGAAGTCGGAGGTCACTTTTTGTGGATATATGAGAGGTGCTGGTCTGCTAAGTGATCCTTCTAGACAACACTGTTGCTGGAAACAAAATATTTGTTAGGTATTTGTTACTCTGATGGAAACGAAGACAGCTTATTCTTACACCTAAACTTTGTCCACAAAAAGAGACTGAACTCTGAACATTTGCCAAGACTACATTCAAAGCTGTCTCTGTGCATTTAAAATAATAAATATGCATCAATATTTCATGATCCGGGGGCTTAGTAGCAATTTTGTAAAGTATATGACAAAAGCCACAAATGGTCTCTTCCTTCTTTTAAAGCAACCAGGAAAACTATTTAGAGCAGTGTTGTTTTGAATCCAAGGTCTAGCATTTTTTAGCTCAGCTGACATTAAGAATTACAGTTGTCAATATGTACTAAATTTGGGGGCTATTTAAAGACCTCCATGAAAAACGTGTTGTGAATATATTATGCTTTAGCCCTCAAATGCAAATGTCTATTAGCAGGGAACATTCTAAAGGGTGTATCTATTTTTTTTTCTTTGGTTTAAAACATTTCTCTGAATAGTAGAATATTCTTATTGTAGCATATGACATTTTGATTTGTATTTGTCTTGCTTCAGTAGCTTTCTTTGTATTTATTTTAGCTTGGTGACTTTAGAAGTGGGAAGAGCTTTAACATGTGTCCCCTTTCTCCATTATGATACTTGGCATTGCTCAGAAGTCAAGTTGTGATTATATTAATTGCCTTCATTATTTATAAAGTCAATGCCCTACTTTAACATTGATTAAAAATAAGCAGCTCAATTTTAAAACATAGGCTTTCTGAGTTTTTTTTTTAATCTTGAAATTTTATATAGTATAAATGTGTGCATGTGTATGAACATTAGAATATATGGGAATTCACATATTTCTTAAATCAGATAATTTGTCTACTATTATATAGTTTCTGATTTTTCTGAATTTGGGGGGTTAGTATAAAATTGGTGTGAAACTTCTGCCCTGCCTTGTGATTTTTCAAACGGGCACTTTACATATACTTTGTTAACATTTGAAGAAAGTGTCACCCCCACTTTTATATATGCTCCAAGAGTTTAGGGGTCATCCATCTGTCCTCTGACAGCCTCATCAGCATCTCCATCTCCCTTCACAGTTACAAATCCAGCATCTAAGAGGTGCTCAATAATTTATTGAATGAATATGTTTTCAAATGACTTTAGAACTTCCTTGAATACATATTTATACTTTGTAAATGTAACTGGCATGCCTCTCGCCTTGGATACACTATTGCAAGCTGTTCCTTCCTTTTGCTTTCTTATATACTTCCCCAAAGTAATTTTTAAATGGTCTCTGGATCCCATGAGGTAGCTTATCTTTTGGCTCCGGTGTGAGAACTTCCCATTCATTGTAGGTCCAGGATGCAGATTAAAATCTCCTATGTTGACTTATTCCTTATTTCTAGGAATAAAAATGGCATGGCATGAATTCTTACTATGAACAAGGATGTATGAAACATTAAGTGAACTGTGGTCCCATCTTCAGAGATTTGTTAGTCTAATTATTTGTTTCTTATTCTGAGAGTTTATACCATTTCACTTACTATTACTTTATGAGAATGTTGACCACATATTTTATTTTCTGTATGATATAGAGGAAAACGTCATTTATTTACTTGATGATCATAGTGATGGTGGTAGTGATGGTGGTGATGGTGATGATGATTTGGGTGGTGTTGATGATGGTGATGATGATTGTGGTGATGGTCATAATGATAGTGATCATGGTGGTGATGATAATGATGAAGATAATGATTTAAGAGCAATGTAACTCCAGGATTCTTTATAGAATTGTCTCTTTTCTCCTGAAATCCCCAACTTCCTATTTTCTTTAATGTTTATTACTTTGCTGTCACTAAATTCTTTCAGAAAGAAAGTAATAGATTTATTACTTTGTGATAATATTATTTAGTGACAGTTTAGTTTGTAAACTCATTAGCTATACCTTTTTCAAGGCAGGAAATACCAGTTCAGTGCATATTCTTTTCAATTCTTTCCAGTGGTTGAGTCTCATCTATTGTCCCCAGAATTTTATGTGTTTCTATCATTTCCTAATTTCTCATGGATCTTTAATATATCATGTATCTTATCAATGTATCTCATGTTTCTCAAGGGTTTTGTGATTAGTTGACTTTATGTTTTATTTGGCAATTAAAAGGAAACTTTTGATTATTTTATCTATCATCCATCCTAATTTCTTTAAAAAAATTTTTTTAGTTGTAGATGGACACCATACCTTTATTTTAATATATATTTATATGGTGGTGCTGAGTAGTGCTCACACATGGTAGGCAAGTGCTCTACCACCAAGCCAGAACCCCAGCCCCCACTCTCCTGATTTCTAACTACAGTTACCTTATATGCATGACTAGAAAGGGATTATGGATGGCAGTTGTAGCTTCAATCTGATCTACAATGACTTTACTTATCATTTGGATTCATACTAGAAAATAATCATGGACACAAGATATTTCACTGACTGAGCAGAAGTAAAGGAATGAGAATCTGAGAATCTTTATCCAAGTTGGGGGAATCATCCACTGGAGACACTTGAGTGATTGGCTGATTATATACTTAAATTTATTTAAGTATATAAACTTGACTATCCTGGTTAAAAGGAAATAATCAATGATTTTAGCCATCACTCACTGGGACCTGATGTTATTGAAGATGGCTTTTTAAAGTCTCATTTTCATATGAACAGTGTAGCAGGGACTCCATGTGCTGCTCCTCTCATATCTTCTTGCCTCTGTTACTTCATTGCATATACCTGGTCCAGCACTGAGCACGGCCATTTCTTTTGCTGGCATCTGGAAATACTTGCTGCCCCTATAAGAGGTCAGAGGGTTGGTAATTAACAATTCTGATGGCAGTGATGTATAAATACCTCTGTTCCCTTGCCACTTGGCAGCAGTACTCTTGGTAAACTCTGACATGTGTGTTCTGCATGGGCTGGACTTCCAGGACCTCACTAGTGGGAATACACTCCAGTCACCCACAGCACAAGGTGGCTTCATCTCTCTTCCATCTTCCTTTCTGCGTTTCCCTCCTCCATTCCCAAATTGTTGAATCCTTTACTTCCTAAGTAAACAACTTGCACTTGAATTTATTTTTGTAGTGTTTGTGTAGGGCATCTCAAATCAAGATACCTGTAATTTGTAGTCATGGGGTAGTGAGAGACAGTTAAAGATCTCATCTTGGTGTCAGCTTACAAATTACAGTTCTAATAAGAGATGTTCTCTGTTGTATTTCTACTCGGCCCAGGTTCCCACATAACCAGTGCTTGTTATGCCTAATTTCTGGCTTCCTGGCTGCAATACCCCTCTAATTTCCCTCTCAAGACCATATAGTACATTGCACTGCACAAGAAGAACACTAAGGTGAGAGTGACTGATTTAATGCATTGAGTACACAATGCAAGTCACCGTATTTTTACTCTTGATATTATTGGGAACACATTTAACATCTGATTGAGAACCCCACATGTAAGAAACCAGCTATGGAGAGACACTGTTTGGAGGAACCTGAGATTTCTTTCTTTTTTTTTTTTTTCTTTTTTTCTTTTTGGCTCAGTGACAACCAAATAGCCCAGTCAGTAATAGCTGCTGACTCAGAGAGTGGTACACTTTGCTTGCTTAAGAGGCAGACTTTAATGTCCTTAATTCCCTGCATGGAACCAGCTGAGATTCAGCATTGGAGAGCAGACGGTCTGGTTTTGGGTGTGTGTATTTGGCTGACATGGTCATTAACCATGCATCCTAACGAGTTTCAAGGGGCTACTGAAAATGACACAGGCCTTTTCACGTGATTATTTCCTTTTAACCAGGATAGTCAAGTTTATGAAAATTCAAGAAAGCAAAACAAAACAGAAAAGGTTTCATTTGCAAGTCTTAGTTGGAATAATTTCTACCATTAGCATATTTTTTATCTATTTAATGCAGCATATATAATTGGGAGCTTTCTGTGGTTGTCTCTGAAAAACATAGTCTTAAGATGGACATTGATAATGCTGTTAATAATTTGTGTGCCTTATTAGGAATTCATAAACTCATGAAAAGCCTTGTTTCAAGATATCTGCTTATTTGATTCTTTTAGTTTTACTAAAATGTGTTCATTAGAGAAAATGAGAAAAATTTGAATTTCAGATTAATATTTTATTTGTAGCAATTATTATCAAGCAATGGTTTTAATATTTAATAGATTAATAGTTAATATTTTAGTATTGGCAAAATTTTCTTTCTATGAAGCTGTTTCCAACTGCCAATCAATTACATAAACCACTTTTTAAGTATCTACATTTCAAGCATCCTCTACTTCGTATCAAAAAAGATTTGTTTTATCTGAGGATTTTGAGTGCCTATGAATGATGTGGTTTAAAGCAAAGAAGAAAATCCCTTTTTTTGAAGGAGCTGGTTTTTAAAAGTCTAACTTCTTTGTACATATATTTTACAGATTAAAGGATTTACCTGAAGACAAAGCCTTCTATTCATCAGAGACTGGACAAGAGTTACTCTTGCTTTTGGCAATTAAAGATGATGTTGTCATGGAAACAGCTGCTCCTACTTTCATTCATTGGCTGCTTAGGAGGTAACAATAAGCTCTCTTTCCTGAGTTGGGGTTGCAATTATTCTCCTGTTATCTGCCTAAACAATTTTAAATCTTAAAGTTAAATTCCATGAAGTAAAGAAAAGAAAAACAAATCTTTTTTTTTTTTGTCCAGAAAGAAAATTTAAAATCCTTTCTCTGATAATTGGGTTATCACTGCCCTTCTCCTTAATTTCAGCAAGAAGGTTTATTCCCATACCAAATGCAATGATAGTTGAAAACAGGGATATGTCAAATTCTACTTGGTATTATGAACATGACCACTAAAATTTGAAAATTTTAATTTATGGTTGTTATTTTTTATTTCTAAAAGGAACATACAATGTAAGCTCCACTGTATATGGGAGAATTTCAGTTTTAAAGTGTGCTAGTATTTACATTTCAAATCTTAGAAATAGTGCTGTTTCTCTTACAGAACATAATGAAGATATCTAATTTTCTTCTTTAATTTTTGGAAAATTTGAAATTTCCAAGAAAGTACAAGGAATAAGAAAAGCATACAAAAGCAAAAGCAATTATATAAATCATTTTATGCATTCCTTCTGCTTTTCTTCATTTTATTCTGTTATGTGGAGTGACTGGGTAAGAGAATGGTTATTTAATGGTTATTTAAAAAAATAATAGTATATATATATATATAATTTTATTATTTTTCTTCCTTTTTATTGTAAAAATTCTTTAGCTCCTAAAAAGTTGACGGGATAGTACAATTAATACCCACCTATAGGCCATTTTGATTGAACTCTCATCTCTCTTTTTATTGTACTTGGTTTTATCTGTATGTATATGTATGTGTATTTTCCCTCTTATTTTTTACTTGGGTCATTTGAAAGTAACTTATAGAAAGTATCTCTAACCTCTAAAAAAAATCAGCACTCATCTTATAAGATCAATTTTCCACATAAGCACAATTTCTTTATGGTACCTAAGGAAACAAAATTCCTCCTGCCAGTTTTCCGTTTCTTTCTAAGAGGAGGAAATGGGTGAAAAGTGGGCCAAAGGGAATTTTCAGGTAAACACATGGCATTTCCATACAGGAATGCTCCAGTAGAATTCTGGGCTCTGTCAAAATTCACACTTTCTTCTAATATTTAAATTTTAATAATGGCAAAGAGTTACAATCAATCATGGACTTCAGATTCAACCTTCTAACTTTAAAAATAAATGCTTTTACAGTTCTTGCAGGTTTTCACTGAGCTGCCTCCATTGGGTTTCTAAAACAAATTCTTTGATGCTTATCTAGGACTAGGGAAAAAAACGAGAAATTATTTAATTACTCTATCTTTTCAGCTGAGCTTTGGAGAAGCTATATATATCTATATATCTATATATATCTATAATAATATAGGTACCCCAAACTAAAAAGAATATTAATTTCTTGAATTATTTTCTTTGTTTACAAACTTTTGAATTTGTTTCTGTTTTAGCAGAGAGCCAAATATGATAATATACTGTCCCAATAATTTTTTTTTTTTTTTGGTGCTGGGGATTGAACCCAGGACTTTGTGCCTGCGAAGCAAGCACCCTACCAACTGAGCTGTATCTCCAGCCCCAGCAATATTATTCTTTATGATACATTTTTATGGAAGCAAACTTGAAACTTCCCAATATGCTGAAAAGAAGAAATTCTATGAAAATGGCATACAATGTGGAGAAAGAGAATGAGACCAGATTTTCAAATGTTAAAGTTTTTAGTTGTAATTTTATACCTTGTGCAAATTGTAGTGTTTCATCAATTTTGAGAAATGCTTTTCAAATTTATGGAGAAATTGTAAGAAAAACCGGTGTCCGTGATGCTAAAATGTGAAGATGTCATTAAACTATCTCTAGATATGGTGATAAAAATCCTTTAAAAGTTTATAAAGGATAATTGGATTAGTTTATGTACAACAGTATGTCACTTAGGGAAGTGGCAGTCTGCATAATGATATTATGGAGAATAATTTAGCCCCTTTGACCAATTTTTAAAAAAGTGTATTGATTGCATACCGTCCCTTATATTTGGAATGTTCTTCCTCCTTCTGGATCAGTGTAAAATTTAGAATAAAATCTGGCTTCTGAATGTGATATTTTATAAACAAATATTGGGCCATTTTATGTCATTGAAAGTAAAATCTGTTCATGGTTTAGGCCATATCCTGTAATCTTAGATATGAACAAAAGCAAATCAGATATATCGTATAAATTCAGTTAGCAGTGCTTAGCAAAAGATATGTACTCAATCATTGAAACCAAATGCTTGATCATTTGTGTTTTCTCAGATTTAAGGTTTTTTATGCCCATTATTTTGTGTATTTTTCATTCCATTTCCTTTGTTGTTTTGTCTTTCATGTTTCCCCTGTAATAAAGAGGGAAATAATAATTCCCGGCCAAGAATTTGTCTTGTAATGCATTTGACTATCTTTTGGCTCAAAAAGGCTAGGTTTATTAAGCAACTTACAGAGACCCTGTCTCAAAATAGAAAGTAAAAATGGTCTAGGGATGTGGCTCAGTGGCTAAGCAACCCTGAGTTCAATCCCAGTACCCAAAACAAACCAAACCAAACCAAACCAAACAAAAATACTAAATTTTGTATATGCAGGACTAGCATTTAGTGCATTGAGCACAGCATATGTCTCTACTGTTTTAAAAATTGGGTCAAAATTGGGTCAAAGAGCCAAATTCTACTCCATAATTATTTTGGAGATTGCCAATTCTCTTAAGTAATGCACTACTTACAATTTGTCATATATAAAACACTCTAATTCTCCTTTATAAATCCTTAAACCTTTTTATGTTAAATAATTATTAAGTATCTGCCAGGCATTGTTTTCAGAACAGAAAATGAACGATGACCTTTGTCCCTGTGAGATTTTTATTCTGTCACATTGGGGTTGACAGTGGCATTGAGCTAGAAGACCCCAGTGCTATGGGAGTGGGGAGCAGAATGGGATGGGAATGTGGAGTCTTGGGAGGTGGTTACGGTTTTAAATAAGGTCATTAGGGTGGGATTTATTGTTACAGACCCCAGACCTGTGGAGAATTGGAGGCAGCTCAAAGGCCCCCTTCACCCTGGGTTCTTGCATTTGGGCCAGAAAGATTTCAGATACGTCCCACCCAATAACAGGGCATGAGTGTACTAGAAAGGATAAGAAGAAAGAGGAAAGGGGTTATTCTCAAGGAAGAACGGGTCCTCTTAGATGAGGGAGCAGAGCGACAGTGCTTCCCCTCACCCTCCAGTTTTACTGGGGGTCCCAGGAAAGTTTCTAGAGTCCTGTTCAAGTCCACCTTCTGCTTCTTCACTGAAAGAAGAGGATGGTGTGGTGCTCACAGAGGAAATTGTTTTTGCTTTAATTTCCTGCCCCCTTAATCGGTTAATTACCCTTTGGATAGCCTTCAGCAAACTTTCTTTGCAAGAGTGTTGCTATAGTTGCCAGGGTGGTTGGGGCTTTGGGAGTGCTAAGGGAGGGTGCAGGCTACCTGGTAGGTGTGATGTGATCTTGAAACAAAGGCTTTTCTCCAGGGAAGTAACTATGGCTGGGGGAGGTTTTGACATTCCAAGCCCCCATCTTCCACACGCTGACCTAACAGAAAAGGCTCCCTGTGGCTTTCAGTCACCATTCATTGTCCTTTCATGCTCACCCTTTTATGGCTGGTTAGCTACCTAATATTCATCAAAAGGTGATATTTGAGCAAAGCATTTGAACAAAGATTGACAGGTGAAGAAGTTGACCCTGTGGATATCTAGGAAAGAACACAAGGCAGATTCCAAGGTTCTAGCATGTGACACGCTAAACGTTCCACAAAGACAGGAAGGCTGCCATGGTTTAACTCGGATGGGATGCGAAAGAGCCAAGAGGAAAGGTAGAAATGGACACCGCAAAAATACAGAAGGTGGCAAACCAATGAATATGTTTTGAACTTGCACTCTGCCTTCTTCTAGGAGCTATAGTGTGGTTTGAGCATAGAGGTGATAAGATTTGACCTATGCATTTTCAGGTAAATGGATGGAGTTGGAGAATATCACGCTAAGTGATGTGAGCCAATCCCAGGAAACCAAAGGCTGAATGTTCTTTCTGATAAGTGGATGTGGATCCATAATGGGGGGCGGGAATGGGAATAATGGAGAAACTTTGGGCAAAGGGGAGGCAGGGGAGGAGGCATGGGGACAGGAAAAATAGTGGAATGAGATGGACATCATTCCCCTAATAACTGCACATGTGGTGCAACTCTACATCATGTACAACCAGAGAAATGAAAAGTTGTACTCCATCTGTGTACAATGAATCGAAATGCATTGTGCTGTCATGTTTAACTATTTAGAACAAATAAATAAAAAAGGATTTGACCTATGGCAAGGTGTTACTGGCTGCCATGTTGCAGATCGATTGTAGAAGGGCGTGTGAGCCAACAGAGATTCTAGATGGACATTGTCGCTAAAATCAGGTAACGGGTGCTGGTGGCAGAGTCCAGGGTGGTAGCAGAGTTGGTGGTCAAATTTTGAAGGCCAAACTCTGAGCATTTTTGGTGAAGCAGTGTGGGGTGTGAGAGGAAGGGAGGTGTGGAGGAGGACTGCAAGGCTCTATGTCAATCTGTGTTTAGAGTTAGTCACCTCTGTCCATTTGTAGAAGCGTGCATAAGAGTGCTTTCCAAAGTAAAGGTCACTACCCAATAGTAAGTTAAAAAAAAGTCAATTTAGTGGATCAAGACCAATATTTCTTAAAATTAATTTATATATATGTATATATGGTAGATGGACACAAAAATTCTTTCTTTATTTATTTCTTTATTTATTGAGTTACTTACTTACTTATGTGGGGCTGAGGATCAAATCCAGTGCCTCACATGTGCTAGGCAAGTGCTCTACCTCTGAGCTACAACCCTAGCCCAAGACCAGTATTTTTTATTGTAATAGATAAACTAGAATTAAACAAGGTTGAATTAAAATTTATTTGAGTCCACTGCTCTCTTAGTAGTATAAATACTGTCTCTACTGAGCACGT